AGGTGTTCAAAGTCATTGTTCATTAGGGAACTGCATATTAAAACAGTAAGACCACTACACACCTATTAGAATGGTTATAATCCAAAACACTGGATTTATGGACACTTGCTTTATAGCCCAAAGTAGTCTATCTTGGTAAATATTCCATGTACAACTTGAGAAGAATGTGTATTCTGCTGTTATAGTTGGTATGTAAATGTCAACTAGGTCAAAGTGGTTAAAACTGTTTGGCAGAAATGTGTTGTCATATTTATTTTTATTCCTGTTTTTCTCTGGCTGCTTTTAAGCTTTTCTGTTAAATCCCTGATTTTGAACAACTATGATGTGCCTTGTAGTTTTCCTCATATTGCTAAGGTTTGGGATTATCGATTTGTGTGCTAATAGTTCTCAATAAATCTGAAAAATATTCAGTCAATATTTCTTCAAGTATTTTTTTTTCTAACACCCTGTTTTCAGGATTCCAAGGACACATATATTGGGCTGCTTGAAATTGTCCCAGAGTTCACGAATTCTTTTTTTTTTAATTCACTTTTCTCTGTTGAATTTTGCATAGTCTGTATTGCTAGGTTTTCAAATTCACTTATCTTTTCTTTTGTTTTGGTGTCCTTGTCTGTTAATTCTAATATCCAACATCATATCTGGGTTTCATTTTCCAGCTTCTTCGAATACCTTGTAATTTTTGATTCAATGTCATATACTACAAATTTTACACTGTTGGGACCTGGATATTTTTGTATTCCTAGGATTATTTTTAATCTTTGTTCTGGGATGCAGTTAAATTACTTGGAAAGTATGATCCTTTCAAGTCCTGCTATTAGGATTTGCAAGGCATGACTGGAGCTATGTGTAGTCTAGGGCTTTTTCCCATTACTGAGTACTTCTGAGTACTCTACTCCACGTTCTGTGCATTATGAGGTCTTCATTCTAGTCTTGCTGTTGGCCCTGTGTGAGTGCAAGTATTATTCCCTCTGATCCTTCCAGGTGGTTCTTTCCTTGGCCTAGCTAGTTTCCTCAGATCAAGCACTTATACTTGAGAGGGGGGCCTTCTGCACATCTCCAGAGCTCTCTTGCCTGGTACTTGCCTGCAAACTCTGGCCACCTTGGTCCCTTGATTCTCAGCTCCATCTCCTCAAAGCAATGAATATGTTGGAAACTGGCTGGGATCCCCCTTCCTGCACTATTGCCTAGAAAGTCTCTCAAGACGTTAAGCTGGGGCAAACATAGGGCTTACCTTGTCTGGTTCTTGTCTCTTAGTTATCAGTGACCTTTATTGCCTGATATCCAGTTTTTTGAAAACATTTCATATACTTTGTCCAATTTTTTGGTTGTTTCAAGCAAGGGGGCAAATCTGGTCTCCGTTACTCTATTTTGGTTCAGAAGTGGAATCCCTCCACCCTTGACTTTTATTCACTCTAAAAATATTTAGTTCCTACCTTATGCCAGGTGCCTCTGGGCTAGGTAATGGTGATAGAGTACTAGCAAAGTAAAGTCTTATTCCGAAGGTCCTTCCATTCTAATGGTAAATAAAAATCGGTAAATAGACCTGATTCTTAAATGTTTCCAAGAACTCCACTTTTAGCCTTCTGCTTTTCTCACTAATTCGTTTCCTCCTAAAGTTCACCTAGTTTCAAGAACTGAACTACCACTTCCATGTTGACAACTTCCAAGTCCATGTCTCCACTTTTACCTCTTCCCATAAAGTCCAGTCTCATATTTCTCCCCTGCTCACGGTTAGTCCCATGAAACATGAGTTCTTATGTTTCCCTACCTCTAAACGTCAAAAAGTCAAGTGGATTCTACTAATTTCCAAATCCATCTTCTCCTAGCCATTCTATGCAACTCAATTAACAAACTTTGAGTACCTATTACATTCTGGGTATTTCTAGGCCTTCAGTCTTGATTCCTTTTCAATTTATCCTGTATAACATATTGGCTGAACAATTTTTCTAAAGAGAAACGTCATCCCATCGTTCCTCTACTTAAAATCCTTTGATGAGAATCTCCTAATGTTAAAAATTAAATCCAAAGTCCTACCTTATGTTTCACAAAGCAATTAAGAGCACAGTCCCTGCCCGTCTCTCAAATTTCAGCTCCGTGACTCACCTTTATTCTTGTCCTATGTTCCAAGCATACTTAACACTTGCAACTCCTCCAAATGTACCATGTTTTACCTCACATTCTTTGTATATATAGTTCACTCTGCTTAGAATAGTCCTATCTCCTTTTTTCCCCCTAATTCCTTTAGGCTATTTAAGATTCAGTTCAGACATTTCCTCCTCCAGGAAATCTTCCCAAATTCCCCAGTCTGTTTCAGATATACTTTTATTGGTACTCCTTTGACTAGATATATTCAGAAACCCAACTCATTCCAACTTATTAAAAAAACATAACTATTGTAAAGATACTGGGCTGTTTCAAGGATCCAAGCAAAGGAATGCAGGCGAGTCTTCAGAACTACAATGAAGGACTCAAATGCCATCAGGTATCAAATGCCACGTCTCCTCTCCCTGTGTCTTGAATCCTCTCCTGGTGTCTTCTCTTCTTCATGCATCTTGTCTATTCTCCTCTTTGTGTGTCTGCTTTACTTTTCTCCTTCTCTCTGTAACTTTTTTTACTATTTCAGCCACATGATGGAAAAGTAGTCACTGTCAGTTGCTGAACTCTGTACCTTATAACGTAGAGACCTGAAGAGAGGCTCATTTGTCCTTTTCAAGTCTAGTTCTACAATTTCCTGGAAAAGGCACTGACTGGCCCTGCTTAGGCCAGTTGCTCACCCTGAGTCAATCTAGTGGAGTCAGGGTCCTGCTGTCAGATGCTGCTCCTGCTGTAATCACATGGCCTGAAAATGCAGGGATAAAGTGGCAATCACCCTATGTGGGGTTCACAGCAGAGAATCCTTCAGGTGGCCACCATTACTTGCTTAAAGCCCAAAGAATAGTTACATCAGAACATTTTCTGTCTCTCATAAAAGCTCTTTTAGGACAAGAGCTAAGCCTTTCATCTATATAGGAAATGACCAAACAGGGTAACATATAATTAATAAACAATTAGTTAACTCCTCACAAGACCAGGCACTGAAACAACTGAAAAGCTTACACGATATAATAGGAAAGAGCATAAGTTAGGAAGTGAGAGACTTCCGTGGTAGCCTGGGTTCTGCCACTAACAGCAGACCAAGTACTAACTTTTCTATACTTCAGTTTCCTCCTTAATCAAGAGAAATTTCTGTAGAAGCCCCACCTACCCGAAGAGATTGTTGTGAGCTTCAAATGAGATACTATCTGTGAAAGCACCTTGAAAAAAATAAAAATCTCTATACAAATATAAGGTAGAGTTGTTATTATAGTAATCACAAACATGCAAATGAGGAATTTAAGAAAGAGCATACTCTCCTCATTAGTGAGAGTAGAAGGTGGAAGGTACCTTTTCTACCAGTGAAGGTAGAAAATGCTAAGAATACAATTAAAATGAATGCCAAAAAAATAAAAAAATAAATGCCAATGTAACTCAAAATAAAGTGAAGATTTTCTAATATCAAAAGCCTTCAAAGTTAGGAGCCTTGAAAAACAAAATTTTTAAAAATCGCAAGCTTTTGCCAAGAGAAAAATCGATTTTTTGTTTATTGTAATTTATGTATCAAAGTGTGGTTAAAGCTCAACATAAAGCAAAATGCATACACTGAGAGAGAAGCCACTGTTGACTTTAAGATACCATTTTTTCTGTACTTGGTAAATTGAAGTATTTCTGCCTTATGAAATTACTACTTTGTATATGATTAAAAACATTATGACTAACATATTCTAAAATGGATATAAGAGAAGTAGTTTATATCAAAGAATTTTCCACCACATGATAAGGATCAGATGAGCGAGTATGTGTGCAGGTACATAATCTGTGGTGAGAGCCTACGGATGCAGCAGTCTGCGTCAGCAAAGGCCCGGACACTTCATGCCAGATGCAAGTTGAGCTTGGCAAGTCTAAAAAGAGAGCTGCCAGGGACATTCTTTTTTTTTTTTTTTAAGATTTTATTTATTTATTTGACAGAGAGAGACACAGTGAGAGAGGGAACACAAGCAGGGGGAGTGGGAGAGGGAGAAGCAGGCTTCCCGCCGAGCAGGGAGCCTGATGCGGGACTCAATCCCAGGACCCTGGGACCATGACCTGAGCTGAAGGCAGACACTTAATGACTGAGCCACCGAGGCACCCCTGCCAGGGACATTCTTGATGGGAGAAAAATCATTTGAGAATTATAAAGACCAGTGGCATCATAGTACTGTTTTTTGGTGTTTTTTTTGTTTTGTTTTGTTTTGTTTTGGTTTTGTGTATGTGTGTGTCTATGCTGCATAAAATGAAGGAAGACAAAATGGATTCTAAGGACAATTCCTGCTGTTTCCCCAGGAATGTTCATAGATTTTTCGAAAAATATATCTTAAGGGTATTTTTAGTGTTCTTTTGATGATGTTGGGAACGTTCAGGCCTTTTTGCTGACGGAAATAGGCTGAAGTGATATTTCCTACAAAGACTGTGGATACAAAGTTGGGCAGAATTTAGAACAGGGGTGAGTGCTGGACATAAAAAAAATTTTTTATGATGAGTCGGAAAACCTAAGTTACAACCAACGATTAGGAAATGCCTATATTAATTTGTAGGTTATCTTTTTTTTAATCCAAAAAAGCACAATTAGCTGGAAATAAATAGTGGTTCTCTCCCAGTTAGCACATGAATAGGAAGCCTGTATGTCTGAATCCCCAGATGCCAGTGAACTTGTGAAGGCTGCACACCCTCACAGAACGTCGCCAGCGTGTGCCAGGCAAACCCACCCTCCTGGAGCACCAGGAAAGGCTCAAGGAAGACGGTCGTAAGTTAAATAGTCAGCAAGGTCAAAACTCAGCTGCATTACTCTAGAGACCCATTTGAACATTAATTTGTTTGTTATTTAAGCATAACTAGAATATTAGTTGAAACTGATCAGCATTGAATTTTCTCCCCTTTTAACTCACCTGTAAGATTCTTTGCAAGATTGATGGTAGGGCAATAAATGCAGCCATGCTGTTTAGAACTTGCATGGTCAAAGATTTCAGAGCTGTTAAAATAATAAAATGTTAATATTAAGGTTAGTTTAAAATAAGAGGTTTTGGTTTTCCCTTTAAGTCAGTGGAAAATAGTGTAGTTATATAAACGCTTCCTAGAAACTTAGCTAACCAGGGCCAGTTGGATATTTTAAAGGTAACTGCTGATAAGTAACAAAGCTACTATTATTCAAGACAAATGACAGAATTGGTGCCATAGAAAGAAATGAACATAAAAGATGAGATTAACACTATACTGTGATTTCATTAAGAAAAACAGTAAGACTATGTGATACTGGGAAAAGGTATCATAATGATAATTTTTCACAGATCAAAACGGGTGATGGTATAGGTGGACTCTGATCAATGTAATTACCGTCAGGGTGTAGATGAGGTGCAGCTGAACCAGACAGCTTCTGAGGGGCCATCATTGCCTCCAACAACGGAAACCAGAGTGCCTATGATGTCAGAGGAAACCAAAGCACTCTGTTATTTTTAAGATTAACATCAGCATTGTGTTTTACAGGTTGAGAGGTACCTCTCACATACATTTATTTATAAACCTTTTAAAAAGAAAAGACAGAGCACCTGACTGGGAAGAGACAAGACAGTAAGAAGCAATGACCACAGCTAGAACAGGTATCTTTACCACACGCCTTGGGAAAATAAAGAAACTGAAATAAGTCTAGACCTTGGAACTGCAACCTTCTGTGTTTCAGGAGAAGGCCTGTTCAAAGGAGACAGGGCCGAGCCGCCAGCCAGGTTCTGATATACCATATGCTATACACACACCACTGACCAAGTCTAAGTGACCCCTTGTACTGCAGGAGAGGACAAGAGGACCACCTGCCCCCTCTGCTATCTTATCTCCCCCCATTTCTCTTCAGCCACATCAAGCAAGAGAAATGAATAAAGGCTGTCCAAAGTTTTCCCCTCTACAAAGTGCTGTTTTGTATTTCCTTAGTCATCATAGACCCAGAGGTAGAAGTTAACATTATTTCAATTAACATTTCCAACCACATCAGGAGATAAATTAATAGACCCACCATTTATTTATTCTTATTTTGTTGGGTCCTCAATTAAATGATTTACACACACTTTCTCATTTCAATCTCATAACAGCCTTATGCAATAAGAATGATCTTCACTTGAGATAAGAAACTAAAGTTAAGGGAGCCTGGGTGGCTCAGTTGGTTAAGCGACTGCTTTCGGCCCAGGTCGTGATCCTGGAGTCCCGGGATCGAGTCCCGCATCGGGCTCCCTGCTCGGCGGGGAGTCTGCTTCTCCCTCTGACCCTCTTCCCTCTCGTGCTCTCTATCTCTCATTCTCTTTCTCTCAAATAAATAAATAAAATCTTTAAAAAAAAAAAAAAAAGAAACTAAAGTTTAGAAAAGTAATTTGCCAAAGATCATACTACCAGTAAACTGGTACTCTGACTCCAAATTCTGTGCTCTTCCTTTTTTTGGGGGGGGATCTTTAATCAAAAATCAAACTAATACATTTTAAACCTCCAAACATGGTTTCTTGTTGGACAATCATTTACAAAGGCCTTAACTCTATGTCTTGAAAGGAATCTATTCCCGCAAACATCTGGGAGTCATGAAGAAAGGGCAGAGGAGAACAAGAGCGGTTATTTAGAGAAGAGGGCATGTTCCATACCCCACCACCTGACCCAGTACAAGTTCTATGGCACTGGAGATATGGGAGCCTCTTAAGGCAGAGGGGGACAGCTTGCGGGGCCTGTAACTTTTCCACTGGGTGACCTTCCAACTGAAGAGCTCTACTAGGAAGCCTTCATCTGCTCCCATTTAAGGTTTTATAAAGCCCAAGATTTTATACTGATAAGCTTTTTTTTTTTTTAAAGATTTTATTTATTTATTTGAGAGAGAGAGAGCATGAGAGGGGGGAGGGTCAGAGGGAGAAGCAGACTCTCTGCTGAGCAGGGAGCCCGATGCCTTGATGCCTCGATGCCTCGATACTGAGACTCCAGGATCATGACCTGAGCTGAAGGCAGTCGCTTAACCAACTGAGCCCACCCGGCACCCCTATACTGATAACTTTTGATGTATTTCTTCAAGTTCTCAAGATACTGATTTTAACTATATTACATACTGGCAATTTTTTTATTTTATTGAAATTTTAATTTATTTAATACTTGTGAATTTTTAGTCTTATATTTTATTCTTAGATAGCTTTACTTAACTTACCTTTTAGTTGCCTATTTTAATGTGTTTTCATAACCACATCATTTATTTCTGTGTAGTTAATTTTAATTGTGTAATTTATTTTAATTATATATGGCTTACCTTTTGTTTTTACATTTACTATGTTTAGAAATTTGATTTTTAAATTTTCTTGTTTAATCCAGACAATTTAGAAGAATAACCTTTGTAAAGATTAGCTGTTCTAGACCATAAATGATAGACTGGGGGAAGCATGGCTGTAGAGGTAATAGCCACGGGATATGTTCATACTCTATACAGAGGAATTATTTTTCTTTAATTAAATCTCCACACGAACCATCCCCTGACAGCGAGCAACAAACTAAACCTGAATTCCTTTCTTATGCTGTGTAATAAACAGCTTTCTTTTCAGGGAATTATATGCATAACAAAGCCAAACTCTTCATTATATGTAATCACTGTGTATTAGGGCAGCCCCATAAACAGGTTTACAAAGGCAGGACAGGTAGAGATTCAACTTGAGAAAGAACTAATAGCCCAATTCCCTGAAGTCTGCTTTAAGTAAATACTCATAACATTAAATCTTGTGATGACAACTTCTGGAAAGAGATATTATCAACGGTCCATTGTCAGTCTTTCGAATACTTCCAATCTTCTAGTTAGTTGAGTGTCTGTGGCAACAGCTCTTGTTCTCACTCTCCAAAACAAAGAGAATCAAGACAAACCACCATTAAAATCCCCCACACTTAATGTCTGGTATTATATAAAATCAGTCTAGCATTTTTCACATGATAGTATTTATATAAAATTTACATTCAAATATTTTTGTTATTATGAAACTCGTTCAGAAACAAAGCAGACACCAGTTGTTGGAGGGTGGGGTGTATGTGTGTGCCTACGACAGGGAGAGACAGACTTCTCTTACACGCAGCCAGTGAATGGAGTAATAATAGCCATAGAGAAGTAAAAATTTCAAAGGATAGGAAGAAGTCTAACATCTAATATTTTTACTAAAACAAATTCCAACTCAGACAAAAAAAAGATCGAATAAGTTTTCCTTTCGCCACATCAAAAGAAGCATTGTTCCTGTCTCTGATTAAGAGATACAGAGTTCAAATATAGTCAGAATAATCCCGAGAGCTCTGGAGGCATGGATTTTTATAACTAATTCTACGATTAATTCATGTGAATCTGGACATACTTCAGCTTATGTGAACCTAAACAGCCCTACTAACAAAACATAATTATCCTTTTTCCTTAAATTTTCCATGAGAAGATGGAGGAGTATCAAATAGATATTGGAGAGGAGATGGAAGGGTTGAAAAGTGAAAAAGACTTAGAATTAAGTATGTATGAACTAAGCTTAAAGAATTCTACCCTTTTATGTTTCTCTATCAAAATGTAACCAAGTCCAGGGGCACCTGGGTGGCTCAGGTGGTTAAGCGTCTGCCTGCGGCTCAGGTTATGATCCCAGGGTCCTGGGATGGAGCCACGCTCTGCAGGAAGCCTGCTTCTCCCTCTCCTGCTCCCGTTCCCCCTGCTTGTGTTCTCTCTCTGGCTGTCTCTCTGTCAAATAAATAAAATCTTTTTTTTTTTTAAGTTTTTTTTTTTTATTTATTTGACAGAGAGAGAGAGACAGCCAGAGAGGGAACACAAGCAGGGGGAGTGGGAGAGGGAGAAGCAGGCTTCCCACTGAGCGGGGAGCCCGATGTGGGGCTCGATCCCAGGACCCTGGGAACAAGACCTGAGCCAAAGGCAGACGCTTAACGACTGAGCCACCCAGGCACCCCGGAAGAGGAATTTTTTTTAAGATTATTTATTTGACAGAGAGAGAGAGGGAACACAAGCAGGGGGAGTGGGAGAGGGAGAAGCAGGCTTCCCGCTGAGCGGGGAGCCCGATGTGGGGCTGGATCCCAGGACCCTGGGATCATGACCTGAGCCTAAGGCAGACGCTTAACGACTGAGCCACCCAGGCGCCCTTGTCAAATAAATAAAACCTTAAAAAAAAAAAAAAAGTAACCAAGTTCAAATACAGCCAGCCAACCAAAAGATAAATGAAAATAAAAACTGAGGAATAGAAAAATCATGGCAAAAGGACTACTGAAAAACCTATAATACATTTTCAAAAGATTAAACAATTTATGGGAATTGTGGACACAGAAAAGAATGTGTTATTAGCCTCAATGAGGTAAAATAACATAACTAATTAAAATTAAGAGGGATGGAGAAGAGAGGTTGGAGCAAGCCTGAGTTCACGTAAATTTCCTTACTGGCTTGGAATCACAGATATTATAAAAATGGAAATGTAATTATAAACAATGATTCCAATCTATTACAGTCATTCAGATATTTTTTAAGCTGTAGTGATATTAATTAAGAGATAGAATGGCGAAGAAATATTTATTCAGAAAGTTTCCTGAGACTGAATACTGTATTTGTAAAAGCAAGCATTTCCTGATCCAACTTTTCTAAAATTATGTCAATCTTGGCAGATAAAAAGTATCTAGACTGATGGTCACCCAATGATAATGATGGTTATTTCTGGATGATAGGATCTTACAAGGCAATTTTTTTTTTAAAGATTTTATTTATTTATTTATTTATTTGAGAGAGAGAATGAGAGAGAGAGAGAGAGCGCATGAGAGGGGGGAAGGTCAGAGGGAGAAGCAGACTCCCCGCTGAGCAGGGAGCCCGACGTGGGACTCGATCCCGGGACTCCGGGATCATGACCTGAGCAGAAGGCAGTCGCTGAACCAACTGAGCCACCCAGGCGCCCTTACAAGGCAATTTTTAAAAAACATTCTTCTGTGTAACTTTCTGTATTGCAGATTTTAAAAAAATGAGTATGTATATCACACAAAAAACTTTTTTTTAATAAGGAAAAAAAATCACCTCTATTATGTAAATGTGCTTGTTGTACACAATTTATCTTCTGAAGGGTTTTTGAAATGTATGGCCTTAAAAAATCCTAGACAAAAACATAAAGCAGAAATTTACCCAACTCAAAAGGACAGAAAACAAAAATAAGTTTATAATTCTCACTGTAACATGTATGGCTAAATATATATAAAAAATCTGCCTTACTTCCCATTTCAGAACCTCAGGAAGAGAAAGGGGTTAGGTGGTGCCAAGTCAGAGGCTGCAGCCCAGAGGGGCAGGTACCAAGGAGTTACGATGCCATATCACGCTGCAACTTTTCTTCGGAAAACTGCAGCAGAATGTGGCTGTCAAGTCACATCTCGCCCCCTTAGTTTCCGCTTCCCTGCTGTAACTCCCACCTGCACCAGGTGCTCAGCCATACCTCCTTCAGTTTTGTGCTCTTCCTTTTGGCAGTCTGGAATCTGTTACAGCCGTGGTTCCAACCTTGGCTATACAGTGGAATCGTGGGAAGATTTAGCACTGGGTCTCAATCCAGAGACTTTAATGTAATTGTTCTGGGGTGTAGCCCGAGTGCTGGGATTTTCTCAAAGCTCCCCAAGTGACTGTAATGTGCAGCCAGGGTTGAGAAACTACATCACAGCCTTCTTTGACCTTTTCCAGCTTCCTCTGTATCCCCCGAGGGTTTCCCTCTAGCTCCTTATGCTCATTTTCCTCCACAGAGGATAGAAGAGATGATAAATGACGACACATCCACAGAATCACTACACGGAATACACAAAATCTCAGTCCAAAGGGAACAAGGACATCCAGCATTCACGTGCCTAAATTCTGCAGCACAGCCAGGTCTAGGAATATAGACTTTTGTGAGAACGAAGAGGACAGGCACTCCTCACAATAACTTTAGGAGGCTGATACTCCCGGGAGCACTAAACAGTGATTAAAATCCAGTTGAATTAAACTCAGGTGGCTGAGAGGGCAGCAGAAATAGAATGAATTCCTAGTTTCAGATCAGAACAGACTCTGATATGCCTAAGTAGCCATTCTCCTACCTCTCGTTGCTGCTGGTTCAAATTATGTGAATTTCGCTGGCAAAGGGCAATTGTCTCTACCATGGTATCTTCAACATCCTTCAATGAGAGCTCCTCTTTGGCCTCTAGATTCAGAAAAATTGTTAACAACACTTAAGGATATATTACTGATGATCCTCAGAGCTTCTGTAAAAAAAAAATTAGACTATTTTTTCTTTGCATAGCACTGGTTTTCTATTATGAAATCTTCCATAAGCATGATACCAATGCTTAATGCTTAAAAACAGGTAATTTCATTTCCATGTAAATGCCTCACATTCACAGGACATATAAAGCACATCACACTTAGCATTTTAATATGCTTCAGCTATGGAACAGCCCCGATCATCTGTTTGTGGGTTAGTCAGCAGAAAGATTACCTTTCACCTTTCTTGCTCTACCATTTCTTCTTCCCTCTATTTCTTAGATATAAGTATTCCAAGATACTATCTTAGGCCCTCTCCTTTTCATTTTCCAATAACTTCACTTCCTCTTGTGGTTTCAACTCTCAGGTCCTTGCTAATAACTTCCAAATATACACCTGTAGTCCTCGTTCCTTTCATCATCTGCAGGGTGAACTTTCCACAGACTCTATCCATCTCTCCACGGATGTCCTGCAAGCACCTTAATTCATATGCACAAAACCCAAATCACTTTTTTTTCTCACTTCCCAAACTAAGTTAATGAAACCATCATCTTTAAGTCAGTGTATATATCTTCATCATCCCTGATGCTCCCTCCCCGCTTCACCCACATGTCCAAATAAATTGCCACTTCTGTTGATTCTACTTCCATGCCCTCACATGCCCATGCCTTTTACCCTTTGGTGCTCTTCACCTCCTGTGAACTACAGCAACAACCTCTTAATTAAACTTCTGACTTCTAATACTTGCCTCCCTCATTCTCTTTTATACTGTCACAAGCAAATGTATCAGTCTCATCCATAAAAGTCATTAAAGGCTTCAAAGTTTTAAAAACAGAACATAAATAAACCTCTGACCCGAGTAAGCATCTGGCTCATGTTCTCACCCTCTGCGCTCTTACTCCGAGTTCTTGGCCAGGTACTTTCATACTCACGTGCTCCTCAGCCCAGATGGCCTTTCCTTGTTTTTCCCTATCAAACTTCTATTCATCATTCCAGGCTTACTTCAAAGGTCACATCTTCCACAAACTACCTTTGATTCATCAGTTACAAATCATTCCCTAATTTTTCACAATCATTTGCCACTGTCACTGTATCTCTTTTCTAATACTTGATTCTTCCAACATTCAGTTTTTATTTACATATCTGTCTCTTTCACAAGACTATGGTTCTTTGGGTAAGAGCTGTGTTTTAGCCATCTGTGTATAACCCATACTAGCACCATGTCTTGCAATGAGCAAACCCTCCAAAACTCGTAGGCACACAGAAAAAATTAAATCTGAGAGTAAATAGTGGACATTGATCTTCAAAGAAATTTAAATTCAGAGAACTGGCTTCTTTACACATATCACTTGTAAAACACTGTAGGGGTTTTGCGGAAACATTCTTCTTTTCCCTCAATCTCTCATGTAATGTGTGCAAAAATTATTCTAACAATAAGAAAAATATCATAAATGCAATACATCTATCATAAACTGACTAAACAGACTAACAGTACAAAAATAATAATTAAATGTTTAGCTGAACTAAATATGGGACAACTGTTTACTGAGGTTCCAAAAAGATGCCATATAATACAAAATGATTCAGATATAACACAGACCCTATCACCTAGGACCTAGCCATAGAAAACACAGATGAATGTTATTTATAGAGAATTAGGGTAAAGGAGTTTAAGGAAATGTGTGGGCCAAGGGGGACTAAGAAATGTGCTGATGTGTTAAAAAGGTAGGACAATCTAAAAATCACCTATCATGTGAACTTTGGAAGAGCTATTTTGAAAATTTCAATAATGTGAAAAGAAATCACCCTATTCAAAAGCAGGCAAAGGACTTGAATAAACACTTTGCCCAAGAAAATATAGAAGTAACCAATAAGTACATGAAAAGATGCTCTCCATTATCGGTCAATGGGGAAATGCAAAGCCAAAGCACACTAAGCTACCACTCGGCACCCAGGAGGATGGCTACCCGCAAGAAAACAGAAAAGAACAAGTGTTGGTGAGGGATTGGACAGACCGTAACGCTTACTGGTACGCTGCTGACGACCAAGTACATTGATGTGGTCACTGGAGAAGCGAGTGTAACGGCCACTCAAAAATTAACAATAGAGGGGCGCCTGAGTGGCTCAGTTGTTAAGCATCTGCCTTCAGCTTGGGTCATGATCCCAGGGTCCTGGGATCGAGCTCCGCATCGGGCTCCCTGCTCTGCGGGGAGCCTGCTTCTCCCTCTCCCAGTCCCCCTGCTTGTGTTCCCTCTCTCGCTGTGTCTCTCTCTGTCAAATAAATAAATAAAATCTTAAAAAAAAATTAACAAGAGAATTACTATTTAATCCAGCAATAACACGTCTGGGAATCTATCCTGAAGGAACGAAAGCGAGGTCTCAGAAAGATACCTGTACAGGCATGTTCACAGCAGTATTCTTCACAATGGTTGGAAGAAACTGAAGTGTCTGCTGACAGACGAAAGGATACAAGATGTGGTGCATACATAAACCAAAATATCATTCAGCCTTTTTAAAAAGGAATGAGATTCTGACACGTGCTACAACGCGGATAAATTACGATGATATTATGCTAGGCCAACACACCAGACAGGAAAGGGCAAATGCAGGACGATTCCAGTTACAGAAGGTACCTCATCAAATTCACGGAGTGGGAAAGCAGAATGGTAGGTGCCAGGGACCAACCAGGGTCAGGGAATGGGATTAACTGTCTCAGGGGGACAAAATTTCAGCTTGGGAAGTGGAAAAACTTCTGGAGACAGATGCTGGGGATGGTTGCAGAACAATGTAAATGGACTCAATGCCACTGAACTGGACACTTATGAAGGATTAAAATGATAAATTTTGTATTATGTATATTTTACCACAATTTTAAAAAATGAATCTATTTTCTAAAATGTCAAGGAAAATAATGGGACTTTTTTATCTGTCTGTGACAAGGCCATCTAAGACTCTACACTGTCAAGTTTTACTGCTTTGTGCTAAAATTATAGAAATTCACTACAGAAACACTGGCTATTAGTGATTAGAAGCTCTGATTTGCTATTGCTCAGTACATTATAGTAACTTTTAAGACATTAGTTAGGTACCTCATTTATATATAACCAAAAACTGGCACAGAAATATAACAAAACAACCCCACTATCAGTGAAAAGTGCCTACTTTTCTGTACATTGAACTCCACTGACAACTGGCATCACAAAGCCACATGGTTTACATGATTTCCTATTATGAGCTCTTGAAAACGAGCTAAAATTGAGATCCACATTAAAGTATTTACACAGATCAATGTAATTATTATTTAATAAATGCTGTTTGTTAGACAACACCTTTTAAAACACAGGGTCCATGGGAAGAAATAATTGTAAATTACACTCAAGAACTTACTTTCATCTTGATGTGTTATCTCTTGAAGTTTTCTTTGAAGTCTCTAGGAGGTAAAAAAAAAAAAAAATGCAGGAGGTAAAAAGAACACAGTTACCTAATCCAAAAATATGTGAACTAACACATTTTATTTTTTATTTTTAAAATTTATTATTTTTTTAATTCTTTATTTTTTTAACACCCAGTGCTCATCACAACATGTGCCCTCCTTAATACCCATCACCCGGGCTAACACATTTTAAAGGACAAACCTGAAGAAACAACAAAGTTACGAAGAATGGTCCCTTACTGTCATTCAGAAGAGAATTCTTGTGTATACATAAAGCATAGCTAGCAGTTTTGGAAGGGACCCAAAATGTCAAATGTCACTTATCCTTCCCCGCTTCTGCTTCTGTTTTACCACCATACAGTCATCAGTAACATTCTCTAGGCACTGTAATAAGGAGTAGGATTTATCCAGACTTTGGGTAAGGGAATCAAATTCATACTGGACTATGAGAAAAAGAGGTGGGTGGGAAGGGTGGGAATTAAAAAAGAACATAAAGTCTGTCTCCAGAGCATAGGGCACAGCCTTGAGTGTGACACCTCTAAATATGCAATTGCAGTGTCCATTGCTATACCAAATACTAGATCCTTAGGAAGCCTTAACTGATATTCCAAAGGTGGGTTTTTTGGTTTTTTTTTTTTAAGATTTATTTATTTTAGAGAGACAGAGAAAGAGAATGTGGGGGGAGGTGGAGGGAGAGGGAGAGAGAGAAGCTCAGGCAGACTCCCCGCTGAGCCCACAAAGGGCTCAATCCCACGACCCTGGGGATCATGATCTGAGCTGAAACCAAGAGTTCGATGCTTAAGTGACTGCACCATACAGGTGCTCCTCAAAGGCTTCTTAATATACACTGAGGCTGACCTTAATATATCCTTTCTACTCCAAATTTGCTCCTTTCCTTGAGGTCCCTTACAGGCTAATAATGTAAAGCTAAAAATCACACAACTGTCATTAACCACTCCCTCCTATTCCTTCCATACCATATTCAAATGATCAATAGTTCTCAAGTCCAATCCTCTCCCCACTCCACCACCACCACCACCATCCCTAACTCAAGCCTCATGGGCTCATTACTTGTACTACACAGCCTCGTGAGGGCTGCTTCCTCCCCAAGTTTTACTTCCCCCTTCTCGGTAGGCCCCCCATCCTCCTACAGTTACCAGAGCAGTCTTCATGAAACAATATCATGTCAGTTCTTTTGCTTAAAAACCTTTAACTGATTCGGTATGGTAACAAATTAGTCCTAATTCTTTAGTGTGTCCTACAAAATCTTCCCAAATCTGGACCCAGCCTTTGCTTCCAGCCCCGCCTATCTATACATTGATAGTGGAGCCCTAGTTGAGCTGCTGGATTCTCTCCCAGCAGTTCATATTTCTTTGTATTCCCGTGCCTTTGTAAATGATGGTCTTATTCCCTGCAAGGATATCCTTCTTCTCTTTCCCCCATCCATGCCAGGAATACTTTTAATTTATCCTTTAAAAATAGATTCACGGTATCTTCAACAAATAAACTGCAAGGAAAAAGGAGATGTAGGGGTAACTTACACATTAAAAGAGGCTGAGAGCCTACACAAAGCCTCTGTGGACTATTCTTCCTAGCCTGTTTAGTGATTACATAGCTAGGAAAAAACTAGAAGCCAATATGGAACTTTTTTTTAAAAAATATAAATAGGATATCCCTAATCCTTAGCTAGATGACAATATTTAAAATCACTGAGATAATACTTCATACTCATTAAAATGGCTACTACCAAGAAAACAGTGTTGGAGACGTAGAGAAATTAAAACCCTCGTGCACTGCTGATGAGAATGTAGAATGGTGCAGCCACTATAGAAAACAATATGGCAGTTCCTTCAAAATTAAAAATAGCATTATCATTTAATTTAGTAATTCCATTCTGGTTATATGCTCAGAAGAAATGAAAGCTGGGTCTTGAAAAGATATTTGTACACCCATGTTCATAGCAGTATTATCCACAATGTTCAAAAGGTGGAAGCAATACAAGTGTCCATCAATGGATGAATGGGTAAACAAATGTGGCATATACATAAAATGGCATACTAGTCAGCCTTAAAAATGAAATTCTGGCACCTGCTACAACATGGATAAATCTTGAAGACTTTACGATAAATGTACACAAAAAAGCAAATACTGTGTGATTCCATGTATATGAGGTAGAGTAGTCAAATTCATAGAGTCAGAAAAAATGGTGGTTACCAGGGGCTGGGGAGGGATTATTACTTAATGGGTACAGAGTTTCAGTTTGGGAAGCTGAAAAAGTTTTGGAGATGGATGGTGGTGATAACTGTACAACAATGTGAATATACTTAATGACATCAAAATGGTAAATTTTTGTAATATATATTTTATAACAATTTAAAAAGTAGGTAAAAATTTTGTAAAAAAATAGAACACTAACTGTTGGTGAGAATGTGTAGCAACCAAAACTCTTATACATTATTGGAGGGCATGTAAAATAGAATAACCACTTTGGAAAGAGGTCTGATCATTTCTTACAAAACTAAACCTACACCTATCCTGTGACCCAGCAATTCCACTCCTTGGTATTGACTTCAGGAAAATGAAAACTTTTTTTCTTTTTTTAATAAATAACAAACTTTATTTATTTTTTATTTATTTTTTTAAAGATTTTATTTATTTATTTGACAGAGAGAGAGAGAGAGACAGCGAGAGAGGGAACACAAGCGGGGGGGGTGGAGGAGGGAGAAGCAGGCTTCCTGCCGAGCAGGGAGCCCGATGGGCTCGATCCCAGGACCCCGGGATCATAACCTGAGCTGAAGGCAGACACTTAACAAGTGAGCCACCCAGGCACCCCGAAAATGAAAACATTTGTGTACAAGAGTGATCATAGTAGATTTATTCTTAATAGCCAAAAACCAGAAATAGCCCAGGTGTCAATCATCAAGAGAATGGATCAAGATGTAGTATATGCATACACTTAAATACTACTCAGTAATAAAAGAAACAAACTCCTGATACATCTCAAAAATATGCTGAAAGAAGAATTATACAAGAGTACTACTGAAGGACCCATTAACATAAGTGTATAAAATAGGTAAAACTAATTAACAGTGAAAAAAATCAGAAAAGTGATTATGTGTGGGGGTACGGGAATGGAAACTGAGTGTGATGGAGCATGAGGAACTTTCTCTAATGTTCTCTACCTTGTTAGGGACTAGGAACATAGGGGCATGCATTTGTCAAAACTCAGTACATGATACACTTAAGACTTGTGCATTTTACTAAATGTAAATTTCACTTTAAAAAAAATATCAAAAAGAAATGCTGAACTCTAGTCAATGACTAAACTCTAGTCATGATAAAAATATTCAGTGGTAAAATGTAGTAGTCTGCAACTTACTCTGACACACAAGAGATTAAGATGGATGAAAACTTATACAGTGTTACATGTCAAGTATATCTCAATAAAAAAAAAGATGGGTTGATGAATGGAGGGCTGGAAAGAAACATGACAAAGCAAATATAGTAAAATATTACCTGTAGCATTATTAAGAAGGCACCATGAATATCTCCTTTTTTTTCTAATAGATAGGCAGTGACTTCATGAAGTTGATACTTCTGGGTAATCTAAGAAAGAAGAAAAGATAAAGATTTTTGTGGATCCTATTAAGGAGGAAAACAACATGACAATAAATAATAAATTCATACCTCAATAGTACACTACTGTCTGGTGTAATATGAAATTTTTTACTTTCTAGTATTGTAAGTGGCCCATCTTCCCAGTTCTAACTAAACCATGTTCATTTACCTTTTTCTTCACTGATTTAAAATTGTCATTTACCTGAGTATATCCGCTGGAGAAAAGGTAACACATACACATAAATAGGAACAACATAAACCAGAAATATTTAGAACAAAATGGCAATGAAACACGACATAACAACTTGTGAGATCTTAATAAACATCAATAAACTAAGAGTTTCTAATAAGTAAACAAAATACCAAGTAAGCTAAGAGAAATGAAAGACAGGAAGTGCAGAAAATAATGCTACTGAAAAGAAACAAAGGGAATACATTACAGAAGTTTAACAAATCCCTAATAGCCTTTGAAAAGACTAATAAAATAGAATAAAACTTTCTTAGCAAGAAGAAAAAAGAGAGGCACAAATAACATATTAACAGGTTTAAAGGAGAAAAACCTATGATCCTCTCAATAAATACACAAAAAAAGTATTTGATAAAATGCAGTACCCATTTTTTTTTTTAAAGATTTTATTTATTTGACAGAGAGAGAGCGAGCGAGAGCAGGAACACAAGCAGGGGGAGTGGGAGAGGGAGAAGCAGGCTTCCAGCCGAGCAGGGAGCCTGATATAAGACTCGATCCCAGGACCCTGGGACCATGACCTGAGCTGAAGGCAGATGCTTAACAACTGAGCCACCCAGATGCCCAAAATAAACACTACATTTAATGTAAGATGTTAGACACATTCCCTTTTAAAGATTTTTTTTTTTAATTTATTTGAAAGAGAGAGACAGACAGAGAAAGCACATGAGCAGGGGGAGGGGCAGAAGAAGGAGAAGCAGGCTCCCTGCTGAGCAGGGAGCCCAACACCGGACTCAATCCCAGGACCGCGAGATCGTGACCCAAGCCGAAGGCAGACGCTTAACCGACTGAGCCACCCAGGTGCCCCGACACATTCTCTTTTAAGTCAGAGACAAGGCAAGAATGCATACTGTCACTGCTTCTATACAGTAGTATCCTAGAGCTCCTACACATCTGATAAGAGAGAGAAAACAGGTTAAGATTGAAAAGAAAAAAAAAAAAAAACCAAACTACCCTTATTCTTGGAAAGTAGTACTGTTGTAAAGAAAAAAATCTAGAAACTATTTGAATGAAGAATTCAGATTCTTTGATACAAAACAATGTACAAAAATTAATAACATACAGCAGCAGCAATCAAAAAAGATGTCATTTCAAAAAACTTTCACACTGTTGGGGCGCCTGGGTGGCTCAGTCGTTAAGAGTCTGCCTTTGGCTCAGGTCATGGTCCCAAGGTCCTGGGATGGAGCCCTGCATCGGGCTCCCTGCTCTGCGGGGAGTCTGCTTCTCCCTCTCCCACTCCCCCGCTTGTGTTCCCTCTCTCGTTGTGTCTCTAATAAATAAAATCTTAAAAAAAAAAAAAAAAACTTTCACACTGTTAACAAAGAACGTAAGTATTTAGGAATAAATGTAAAAAATCACATGTAAGAACCTTGTATATCATATAAAAGTTACTGAAACCTCACTAGAGAGCATCAAAGGCTTTTAAAAAGACAACCAGGTTCCTGAATGTGAAGACTCTACATTGTGAAATGTCAATCTTCCCTGACTGATTTCATCTAAAATTCAATGTATGTATTTCATCAAAATTCTGGACTTTTTTTTTAAAGGAACCTGACAATGTGATTTCTAATTTGATGTGAAATAGTAAGAGCCTAAGAGTAGACATAGAATTTAAAAAAAAAGAATGAGGGAAGACTCTTCTTTCAAATAATAAGCCTTATTGTAAAGCTATATTAATTAAAATATGTGGTAATGGTATAAGGAAAGACATGACCAAAGGAACAGAACAGAGCCCACAAACAGATCTACGTCTACCTGGGGGTTCGGTATACAGCGGTATGGCATTATGAATCAGTGAGGTAAGGACACAAAATGCCACATGGACCACTGGTTATACACACAGGGAAAAAATGTAGAAATCCCTCTCTTGATCTGTTTATAAAAAAAAATTCCAGATGGATTAAAGGCCTAAATGTAAAAAGGTAAACTATAAAACTCATATAAGAGGATATCTTTTATACCATCAGAGTAGAAAAGGAAGTAAGACTCACACACAAAAATTTAAACCTTAAAGGAAAAGACTGATAAAATAGAAGTCACTAAAAAGCAAGTTAAAAGGCTTGCCACAACAGACTGGAAGAAGGCATCTCCAACACATAAAATCAGCAGAGGATTAGAGATGCAGAAATGAGAATTTCTACACATCAGTAAGGGCAAAAACTCAATAGAAAAATGGGCAAATGATATGAACAGATAATTCAGAGAAAAGAAAATCCAAAGAGTCATTAAACATATGGAAAGATGGTCGATGTCATGAGGAATCAATGATACCCATCACACTGGCAAAAATTAAGAAGTCTAAAAACGTTAGGAATCAGCAAGAATGTGGAAAAACAGCAAATACCAACCACAGATGATAAGAATAGAAACAAACAGATGACCTAGGCAATAACAGCAGAATAAGCTACTCTATTGTTTAAGAATTCCACCTCCAGGTAATTACTTACAGAAACCTCACATGGGCACATAAGATTGGTACAAAGATGTATAATGTAGCATTGTTTATAACGGTAAAGGATCAGAAACAACAGGAGTGTCTATTAATAGGGAAACAAACTGTGGCACATTCACATGACTATTAAAATGAATGAATTAGACCTACATGTATAAAACTGATAAATTAAAAAATTTAATGAAGAAAGCAATTTTTCAATGGGGTATGTACTATATGATACCATTAATACAAATTCTAAAAACTGTAAGACCGTATCATGCATTTTGTAGGTAAATACATATATAGGGAAAATAAAAAACTTGGAGGGGAAGGCTCCGCTTTCCATCTTCAGGTTGGTGGTGACCTCAGGGGACAGAGGGGAACTGACAGATAAAGGGTGCTTTATTTCTAAAACAAACAACAAAGATCTGAAGCCAGTGTGGCAAAATGTGAACATCTAAATCTACACAGATATTTGATATTCTGCACATTTCTATATATTTTAAATATATCACAATGTAAAATTTGTAAAGTGTGTGAGCAGTTCAGGAGGTGGTACAGAGAACAGAGGCTACTGCTCTGTTCTACAGAGTACTGACAGTAACAGCAAGGAGAGAAAATGGTAGCTTAAAAACAAACTAAGTGGGGGACCTCTTACAGATTAGAATATAATATGTGTGTATATGTACACACACGTGTGCACAGGCACAGTCATTTTCATTTGGAAACAGGAGGAAGCAAGGGAAGGGGTTCAAGGCAATGACTGGCCGAAGGTTACCGGCCGCCACTAAGCCTGTCTTAAGCACAACAGGACTGACTATCTAACCATCAGTGTCTGCAAACAAGACCCTGGTTTTTCCTTTTAGTATTTTTATTGTATTCCTTCCTCTAGGCTTATTGTGCTGGTTAGAATGTCTGTGAAACTTGATTAATAACAATGATGGACACGTGTTGTTTCTGACTTTACTAGAATTAAGGGGCAGCACAATGGAGAGCATGCGCTATGGATTCAGACTATCTGGGTTCAATCCCAGGGGCTACGTAATGTAACATGTGAGTCTCCTTCTGCTCATATTTAAACTGGTGAATGATTAGGACGAGTCTACTGTTGTCTGCTCCACATTACTGGTCTTACCTGGATGGTTTCTTCCAGGCGGTAGCACTCAAGGACCTGCAGTGTCTCTATAACCTGGTTTGGGCTGAACTGACACAACAGCTCGATGAACTGCTCCGTAACACAGGGAGACATCTGCAGCAATTCTTGATTTACATGAATACCTTCCCTGAAAACATAAATGGCAAGAGAGAAGCATTATTTCATCGTATCTATAATTAAGGACACAGGTAAGAAGTACGTAAACCTTGAAACCAAGACTACCTTCTGGTGAGGTAAATCATGAATTCAAAGTCTCACTGTTACTTAGGTTGTTAGGGTGAACCGTGTATTACATCAGAGACAATATACATCACAACAGTACTCAGTTTACATTGAATAATTAAGGAAATAGTATCCAGTGAAAGCTCCTCTAAATAAATACCAAAGTTGAGTAACTCTATATATTAAACCATCTTCCAGTCTTAACAGGTGTCCCTACTATACTTCGCTCATAGTACCAATCACACCATGGCATAATTACTTCTTTAATTATCTTTTTTTTTTTAAAGATTTTATTTATTTATTTGACAGAGATACACACAGCGAGAGAGGGAACACAAGCAGGGGGAGTGGGAGAGGGAGAAGCAGGCTTCCCGCTGAGCGGGGAGCCCAATGCAGGGCTCGATCCCAGGACCCTGGGATCATGACCTTAGCCGAAGGCAGACACTTAACGACTGAGCCACCCAGGCACCCCTTTAATTATCTTTCTTAATAAAGACGATAAACTCTCGGAGGGTAGGCACCAGGCACCCTCTCATTAACGAATTCCTAAAGCCTGCAACAGTGCCCTGCATGTTGTAAGGGCTAATTATTTAGGTATTGTTAAAACATATTTAAAAAGTGGATGAACAATAGGGTACACAATATTTATGTGTTCATTTGTCTTGTATGTCAGCTATTCACAAAGCCCACTATTCACAATGCCCACCAAGAGCTAGAGATACTGGGACACCTGGCTGGCTTAGTCGGTAGAACATGTGACTCTTGATCTTGGGGCTGTGAGTTCAAGCCCCACACTGGGCGAACAGCTTACTTAAAAAAAAAAAAAAAAGGCTAGAGAAATAAGAGTATTATTTTTATCATGGTGGGCACTCAACTACCAGTGGCCAAAAAGAACTATTTAGAAAATCAACTACTGCTCATCAAAGAACAAGAATCATCTCTGTAGCTTCAAAAGAAGTCAGTTCCTTCTGAGAGCCCTATCTTCTCTTCAAGATTCCCCAACTAAAGCTCCTTATATAAAGAATCAGAATAGGGTTAATAAGATACAAAAATGCTTGGGAAACTAGCCTTCTGAAGAAATGTTAAGGCAGATGGTTTAAAGCAACACCTCTCAACTTTTCTCACATCATGGCCCACAGAGAAGGACGGTATTCGTATGGCCCATCAGCGTAAAGTGAGACTGATCACAGGGGACTATGGGTGCCCCAAGAGCAGAGTGGATGGGTCTCCAGGTACACCTGTAACCCAGGCACAGCACACCAACAGCCACAGGAGGGAATCTCTGGACTCCACTGAGATTAATCTGAGGTTATAAATACTCTGCAAATGATGGTAAATAGCTCCCCTATTTTTAAAAAGTAAGAGATTTCAGTTACAGAAAGAGGACTTATATTTAGACATAGGAAATCTTTCCTAAATTAAGAGTCTTGTGACACTCCATCCGGACCAGAGGTTGAGTGACGAACTCATTAATTAAGTTCTGCTGCTTGGGGCTGTCAATACTTGCTGATGGGCTAATTCAGTGTGTCCTCAAATTGGCTGTAAATCTCTAAGACCAAGTGTCCTTACTTTTTTCTTCTCTTTTCTTTCTTTTGTATTTCACAACTGCTTTTAACACAGAATTTGGTAACTGGTTATTCCCTATGTAGACTATCACCTTAGTTTTTCCCAAAACTTGTCTTCTGGGAAGGCAGAATTTGAAAATTATCTTTTTAAGTGTCCATGTCCCAACTACACAATACACTCTGAGAGCAAAGGCTGTGTGGCATTCGATGTCTCCCAGCATTCACATAGTCTTGGCACATAAGAAATAAGTACTCAGTAAATGTACACTGAATAAGAACTGAATTGACTGGCCGTAACACAGTGGATTGCCTTCGGAAAAAGGGAACCAAATACAGGATAGAAGGGTGAGAATTACAAGGACTAGGGCTCTGAAGTCAGATTGAGCTATGAATGAATCCTGTCAGAAAGTTCTACATGGACAAAATAGAAAGTGCACATGATAATGCAGGGAATTGATGGTTCTTTATGTAGGAGTAAGGTTTTGTCTCAAGAGAACGCTCAGGAAAAGAAAAAGGGAATGCTAATCAACGATCCTTGATGTTAAAGTTCGTCAGTGTTCTTTTCAGATGTTTATACCACATTGTAGGCAGTGTTAATATTTTATCTACATCAGAATTCTGTTATTATGTCTTATAAATGCAAGACTATGGAGCAAATTAAGACTAGACGTAAGCATCTGCCAGTGAATCCCAGTATGTGATTCTTTCCAGACGTTTACTGATAAAACTCTTTACAAGTACTGAAGATGTGAGTATGCATCAAACCAAGCAAATCTCTCAAATAGATTTTGAGGCATTCATTTCTGAGGGAAATAATATGTCTGCTGGGAGATGACCAGGCAACATCAACATAGTCAAAACTTTAATAAATAAGCTAACATTAATGAATTTACATTTATTTCTGACTGCTGCTTATCCAGTCTTGCACATAAATATAATTTGTTATATCCATTTCTCTATCCAAGCTACTTTTGTTACTCTTCTATTAGCTACCTGCTTTGCCACTGCTAACTTTAATGTATCAAAATTATGTATTTTAGACCTAAATCTTATCTTTTAAAATGTGTTAATATTAATTTTAGTACTTTAATAACAGCCCTGACTTACAGGATATGAACATTTAAGTATATATAAAAGGTAGACTTTCACAAGGCACACACAAGACTTTTCTCTTGTCAGCTTTAAAAGAAAGCATATGTATGCCTTGTCAAATACACACACACCACGCACCAAAATTCAGGTTGGGGAAAACATCCACCCTTACTCAGGTTGTGAAAATAATTTAGATTTATGATCTTGTACATTTGGCTATTTCTGAGGAAGGATAAACTATGTATCAGTTTTAAATAAGTTACATCATTAAAATGCCTCTAAAATTCAAATTCTCTTAAGAATATTTGACAAAATAAATGTTGCATGGGAATGAAGAAAGTCTAGCCTAGTCTCTCTCCTTCACTCTAAATATCGCACAAAAATAGGCCATTCTAGACTACTCAAAATTTCTGAGGAAGAGAGTTTCACAATCTCCCTGTAACTTGTTTTGACAATTTAGGGCCACCTTAGCTTAGCCTAAATCCTGACTGCTTGAATTCCCTGCTCATCCCCATAAATCCGGATGGTGGCATATTGATGACTACTTGGTACCTTTTAGACTGAGAATTCAAACGCATCACTCAAAACACACAAGAGTAAAGACAATTATTCTCCCTGTAGTTTTCATTCTCATCATGTTGTTTTACAAGGTTGTTAAACTGAACTTCCAGCTTTCCATATACATTCCACGTTAAAAATGCCACAGTGTAGGGGCACCTGGGTGGCTCAGTTCATTAAGCATCCAACTCTTGATTTCGGCTCAGGTCACAGTATCAGGGCTGTGGGAATGAGCCCCGCGTTGGGCTCTACGCCAAGCATGGACACTGCTTGGGATTCTCTCTCCCCCTCTCCCTTTGCCCCTCCCTCTCCTCCAATTAAAAAAAAAAAAAAAAGCCACAATGTAATCCCATGTCATCTGAACAAAACATAAATGAATGTGCCAATCTGCCTGGGCAACACTGTTAAGTATGATTCTAAAGATAGCAAAGACAATACCTACAAAATGTATATGGAATTGTACCAACAGTAATGTCCCACAAACTGGACAGGAGAGGCTTAGATGGAAACATGACCTGTCGCAAGGAAGAATTCAGTAGTGTGTATCTCCAGGATGGCCCTCTACTTTGTGCAGAGCTGCCAGTATTCCTCACAGAGAAGAATCACACTCCCTCATCAACTTGTATGAGGCACAGACCAAAGCAGACAAGTGCACCATTCTGTCTAATGGCAAAGATTCTGCATCAAATCAATGTTAATAGCAGATGTAAGCTAGATCTGCAGGGAACTTTTTCACTTTCTCTTTCCCTAGTATGACTACTAATCAAGTGTCAAAATGTCCTCCCCAAATCTTTTTAATTTTTTTTAAGGTTTTATTTATTTATTTATTTGACAGAGAAAGAGAATGTGAGAGAGGGAACACAAGCAGGGGGAGTGGGAGAGGGAGAAGCAGGCTTCCCGCTGAGTAGGGAGCCCGAGGCGGGGCTCGATCCCAGGACCCTGAGATCATGACCTGAGCCGAAGGCAGACGCTTAATGACTGAGCCACCCAGGCGCCCCTCCAAATCTTAACAGAATTCTTGTTATCTCAGATATTCACAAAAAAACAAAGTATTGTTTTGAATGTTCTCCTGCAGAAGCAGTAAAAATGGCTTTTATAAGCTAATAGAAATAAGAGCCTAATGATTTTCATAGAAAATTAATTTAGCTCCATAACCTTATCAAGTATAAAGAGTACCCAGATCATTCCAATGCTGTACAGACTAAAATTAAAAACTCACAGGGTTAGCTAAAACAATTTTTCCAAAATACCACTATTAATAATGGTAATAAGAACTCATGAGATTATTTGCAATGTGCATTTTCTTGCCACTGCAAAGCTCTCCTTAACACTAAAATCTGCCAGTAATCCCACTAGCAAGAATTGTTTCAATGTGGCCTAAGTCAAAGAAAGACTGGAAAGGTGCAGGTCCTGCCACTTCAGCGTAGTACCTAATTTTCAGGTCTGGATGAGACGCGTGATGCCATTCTCTCCCCAAAGTGATGGATGGAATTGGAGACAAAAGAGATGCAGTTCTGTGACCCCGCTACAGGGACATTCTTTACACAGTTTTCAGAAATAGTTTTTGAACTGATGCTGGGTCAGACTACTATAAATCTAATGTGACATCCACATATAATTCTGAACATATAGAGAACAAAGACATTTAGTTTCTGGTCTGGCATGTAAAGAGCTTGAAAGTTAACACTTC